CACTCAACCGTAGATCAGATTCATAGAATAACTGACCTAATAGATAATTCATTGGAAGAAAAAACAATATGTTCTATTATATTTTTGGACGTAGCCCAGGCCTTCGATAAGGTTTGGCATTGTGGATTAATAAAAAACTTAGGCGATTACTACCAAGACAGTATGTTGACCTGCTCGAATCTTACCTGATTAATAGGGTATTTCGAGTTAAACAGGAAGAGGAGTACTCTTCGCTTAGGGATATCAGGTCGGGGGTACCACAGGGGAGTATATTGGGCCCGATACTATACTTGCTATACACGTGTGATATTCCTGAATCGGAAGGAGTGACAACAGCTACATTTGCTGACGATACAGCAGTTATCGCAATAAGACGAAATGAAAATGAATCTAAGCTCAGATGGAAGGAGCACATAAAGAAAAAGAGATCTCAACTAGAGGAGGAATACAGAAAGTTTGAATGGCTTTTGGGGAGGGGTTCCAAATTGACAATATACAACAAAGTTTTGATATATAATCAAATATTTAAGCCAATCTATACAAAGATTTCAAAATAGAGTATTACGGGACATTGTAAACGCCCCTTGGTATGTCCGTAATGCCGATATACACAGAGATCTCACGATCCTAAATGTCACAGACGATATTAAAAAGCAAGCAGCCAATCATAAAATCCAATCATGTCAATATCGAGGCGGCTCGATATCGAGCAAAATTAATGGTTAGCCCTTTTCGACTAGTTTTATAGTTTATTTTGAGGAGGGTGTTTTTTAGTGGATTAAAGTTCCACACTACTGCTTTTTGTCTGGCGGTGTCTTTCGAGATTTTTCACCCTTCCTCTCTTTAAAAAAAAAAAAAAAAAAATTTTGTTTGAATATTTATATCAGATAATTTTGATTGGGCTTTGATCCCGAGGCAGATATTTGAAAATTTTCCAAGCCACCCCGTTTATTAACTTCAGCTTAAGTACAAGCGTTTGAAAACTCTGCATTTTTTATTTCCAAATTGTTCGCTCTCTGATTTGTTGACGGTAATGGATCTGCATATTCTATCGGTCGGGAAATAACATCACTTCTAGAATTATTATTATAATTGTTGTAGTTAAAGTTACGGTTAGTAGAACTTTTCCTTAAATATTTTAGAATTTTTTCTTAAATATTCGCCAACTAGTTTGAATATTGGCTCGGATAATGGCCTATGACTCATCTTTTATTTTATTACTTAATTTACGCAAAACTTTTTTAATTTCATTATAGAAGTCTACACTTGTTGTTTTAAATTTTACGCTTTGCAATTCTTCGAAAAGTTGCAAAGCTCTTTTCTTTTCGCCAAAATTATCTATTAGAATTTTTTTTATTTTAAGCCAGGTTATAACATGAGTGTTTATTTTAACAACCTCCGTATCTCTATTTATTAATTTAGCCTTAAATCTATTAATTAAAATAATTTGACTATTTTCATCATATTTTGCTTTCAACGGTATTTTTCTGATTTACCATTAAAATCTGGGAGGTCCGGTGTATACCTCATTGGATCCAACGATAGCCTCAATTCCGGTGTATTTTGTTTCGCTGATATTGTTGGAGCCTGCATAGTGTAGGTACCGCGCCGCTGGATTTGGCAATGTTGTTGTTGGTTTCCTTCGGACGATCAAACTGTGATAGGTTTTAGAGGGAGTATCGTATAAGCAAGCGCTTCAAAGCAAAACAGAATATAAGAAAAATAAGGAACCTGAGATTCAGGTTCCTTATGCAAACTCAGACATTATGCAAATGATGCATAGTATGTTGATTAGAATTAACGAGATCTCTAAAAGATTATTAAACGTAGAAAATGGATACACGAGATGTATACGGGGACACCAAAGAAATTAAGAAAAGATATACGTAAACAAGGTATGCGTAGTAACGTATAGTATGGAATGCTAATAGTGTTCTTAATAAAAAACAAGAATTGGAGAGTTTTCTTAAAATATAGATATTTGTTTACTGTCGGAGGCTCGTTTGACATATTATACGAGCGTTAAAATAAAAGGCTATGATTGCTATAAAGCCGTACATTCCAGCAATGAGCCAAGAGGAGGATTGCAGCATTAAGAGAAATGCTTTTAAAGATCATGTACAAACATGGACACAGATATCTAATAGGAGGTGACTATAATGCCAAACATACAGATTGGGGCTCTAGAATAACCTCAACTAGCTGAGGAGAGCTGAGAACAGCTATTCAAGAACTAGGTTGTTGCCATCACTCCACTGGCACTCCTACTTATTGGCCTACTGACACTAACAAGATTCCTGATGTTATTGACTTTTTTATAACCAAAAAAAATTAAAAAAATTTATCTTCAAATCTTTGAACATACGAAAATTATATAAAGAACTTATCAGCTACGAAGGAAACGAATTATTCCTTATGGAAGGCAGCAAAGAGCAAAAAGAGGCCGATTGAGCACGCCCTGCCACTAATGAAAGCAAATGCCTGTTGGGCGAGGAGAAATATAGAGGAAACCGTATTGTTTGCTGATCACTTAGAAAATATATTCATACAAACGGAATAACATCACATGTAAGCTTGGTAGAATCCAAGAAGTTGAAAAAATCGTCAGGTTTTGATCTTATTGCTGCTGATATACTAAGAGAGCTACCAGACGAGGCATTGGAACATTTGAGGAAAATCATGAAATGCAGCTATGGATTTTGGGCATGTTCCTTGAGCTTGGAAAGTCAGGGAGGTAAATAGAAGTATATTGGGCCCAACGTTGTACCTGCCTTACAGGAGTGATTTGCCAAAAATAGAAAATGTCACTTTTGCTGACGATACTGCAATAGTTGCAATAGAAGCGAACATTGACGATTCGACAAAAAAATAACAGGAGACAAGTAACAAAACAAGCCAGTGCACTAGGGATTGGAAAACGAAGTTGACTGAAGCAAAATCGGTTCACACAAACTTCACCAATCGGAAAATAGTGAATCTACCGCAAATTAAATTAAATGGAACAAACGTAGCGATCCATAACTCAGCAGAATACCTGGGAATGACTTTAGATGTCAAGCTAAGGTGGAAAGAGCATATAAAGATGAAACACATAGAATTAGAAAATAAATATAGAGAAAATTATTGGCTTCTGGGTCGTAAGTCCAATTTGGTAATTGATAATAAGATATTAATCGTTATATGGCATTCAACTGGATTGTGCCAAGAAGATTCACATTAACAAAATTCAAACCTTCCAGAATAAAGTTCTACGGAGCATGCGCCATGGTATATACGTAACGTTGATATCCACAGGGACTTAGAAATTCCTTTAGTTGTAGATGGTCCAATTTCCTTATGGAAGGTATTTCATTCCTGTACGGAAAAACCAAGTTAGCGCAGAGGTAATAATTAATCTGTAGGACCAGTTTTATCCGTCCTTCTTCGTCTTTCGCGATTTTTTTACCTAGCAGAAAAAAAAGAGAAAGAAAACAAAAAATTTGTTTTTTGTGTTAATTCTTAAAAGTCACTGTTATATTTTTTTTTTATTATTATTAGTTCCAAAAATTAAAAAATGGAATGCCAGTAAAATAACTTAGATGCAGTAATAAAAATTTCAAAGTTTTAATTTTTGTTATTATTTAGATATGTAGTTATTTTGCTACACTTTTGAGTTAACTTTTATGGTGTGAGTCTTTTATTATTCAACTGTTTATTTTAATCTTTAGCACCTTTTTTATTTTTCCTACCGATTCTCGCCAATACAGTACAAAGGCGCTCCACGGAATAAAATAATAATATTGAATAAAACGATAAACGGCTTACCTTTCATTCAATCGACTGATCGCTTAATTGGTGACAAATAAACTGACTTTATTGATTTTACAAAAATTTACAAACGTTCTTAAAATTTCAAAAATTATGCAAAGCAAAAAAAAATGCTTTTTAAATTTAAAACACATTACAAAAAAAATATGGAAAAAATGTTAATCGTTAGTTATTTCATTGCTCATTATGCATTGTATGATATTAGGTTTAAACATAGTGTAAAAACAATAATAAAAAATCTGATATGGCCAGCACATAACCGACCGCAATGTGTATTGTCTAGTTAAGTGAAAGTGTTACAGAATATTATAGAAATGTCTGTTAAATACTTCTTTCCAAGTTTTAGTATATTAGCAAGTTTATAGTTAACATACCTAGAAAAATGTAAATTTGGCTCTTAGTAGAGTTTTGTTTTGTGCTACCCGAATTCGCTGAAATGCTTGCCAGTTAGTTTCGCTAACAACCTGAATTCAAATATCAAATTTCAAGTAATTCCATCAATTCGTTCCGTAGATATGGTAAAAAATGTAAAATCGGCCGGCAGGTCCGTTTTCGAACCCTGATCTTTCTAAAAAATTTAAATGCCATTGTTTTAATACGAAGAATTTAAATATTAAATTTTAATGTAATCTGTTGATTATTTCACTTTATATACGCAAAAATGTATATTTGGCCGTAGTAAACGTCCAGTTGCTGATGCCTGATTTCTTCCAAAAGTAAGGAGGTCTCTTGGACGGTCGAGCGAAGCTTATAAATATTATTTCAAGTGAATCGGTTGAATATTTTCTTTAAAATGATCAAAAATATAAAACAGGCCCGATTTCTGAGGCCTGATATATCCCAAAAATATAACAATCCATGACATAGATGAAATAAACTTTCATGTAAAATTTCATCAAAATCGGTTCAGCCGAACTTGAGATACAAGCGTGCACACGCAGACCGAAAGAGTAACAGGCTGCTGAAAATAGTTTATTTACCCTTTCCTATCATGGGGAATTGCGTTCCCACAGATTGTTGCCATCACATAGCCTCCCTTATTGTATGCAATGTGGTCGGTTAAAGTTTTTTTGTTCATGGAAAAAAAATCGGAATTTAACACAAAACTTTACAAGAGCTTTAGATTTGTTTTATTTTCCATTCTGTAGTCGAAAGTTTTTTTATACAAGTAACCAAAATTAATTATCTACTAAACCATACAGTTGCAATGCTTCCTAAGCGTAAGTCACTCGTGTAGATTATGTGAATTAGTAAATTTTGTTGGAATTAATATTTTGTTTTGCTATCGTTATTCACAAAATTGAAAAAAGTGAAAATCTATATAATTAATTTTATTTGATTTTTGTTATAATAGTAGAATAAAATTATGTTATTTTATTAATAAAATATGTAATTAGGAACATGTATTAGTGATATATACGGTAATGCAACAGTATTTTAAAAAAAAATTAATTAATCGAATGATCTAAATTAGAATTTTTCTGGAATTATGGTTTTATACGATATTATAGAAAAAACATTTACATCTAATTTTTTAAGAACAACAATTTTTTTTTTAACCATAATCGGACTTTTGGCAATAGTACATTATGCTGTGGATAATTTAAAATCGTTTATACTAATAATTAAAAGTGTATTAGACCCTTATTTTCAACCACATCTAAAGAAAACTTTGGCTGAGAAATTCGGTAGTTGGGCGAGTAAGTGTTAAATTACATTAATTTGAAAATATTTCCAAAAATCTTTTATGAACTTAATTTTTGTAGTGATAAAGAAATTTAATGAATGTTTTAAACCCTAAAAAATGTTTTTTTTTTAATACTTAAACAAACATAGCACAAATGCTTGCTTTTATTAAATCTTTATTTTAAATACCTATCTTTATTAAATTTTTATGATGTTAATCAAAGAATGTATGTAAGATTCAAACAGTATACATATACTTTCATATTTGCTTCTACAAAAAAAAAATTAAAAACCTCAATTTGTGAAAATACGATTATTACAATAGAATTTAAGACGTTAAAAAATTGAATTTTTAACTTTTTGTGATGTTTCTCATTTCGTAAGCTTTTTTTCGTACGAAGTTTTTTTTGTGATAAAATTTTCACCACCATGTCCGGTGACTTTACCTTTCTGCTTTTACATAATTAGAAGATACAATGCAAAGTTTTCAAGACCCGCAATTTGTAGCGTTTCTAAAAGTAAGTTTTTGTTTTAAGAAGTTACATAGCAAGTAAAATACGATTTCTGTTCGTTATAATTTTAATAACGGCGAAATGATGGAAATTATTTTGTAGCTTTTTAAACATATGTATGTTTTTCTTTTAGCTGTAAAACAAAATCGAACTATAATTTTTTTTGCAAATTTATTTGCATAATGTAGAGCAGATGTGTTACATAATATAAAACAATTAAATTATGATGAATAGGAGGAAGAGGTATGTGGAGTAACTTTTCCTACCTGCGGACAAACAAAATTTTCGTTTTCGTCGCTTTAAGTCTTATCATGAAATAAAATTTAAAATTTTTTGTTTACATAGATATTGATACTGCAATTCTAATCATAATTACGAGAACTATCCTCAGTTTATTGTATATGTGTATAACAATATTGTAAACAAACAAGTGTATCAAAAATAGCGAAATAAAATAAAATTAGGTTAAACTATAAGTAAAAATTTTTTTATTTTTATTTTACTAAAAACAAAATTAATTTTCATTATACATACCTACGTTTTTTTCATTTCATAAAAATTAGGTAAAAACACTCGAATGTATGAAAGCCATAGATATAACTTTAAACTTTCATGTATTGCTATATTGTATTTGTGTGCGTATGTACATGTGCATATAGCTGGTACAGTAGATATGCAGCATGTATTAGTTAGTGATAAAGAAAAAAAGCAATTTATAAAGAAAACGAGAAAAAAAATAGAGTTGACCTTGTCAACTCTTGGATACCCGTACGAATTTGTTATCCTATGTGCGAATAACTAATGTACCATAACTAACTATGGGGCAGACTATGACTTAAAGTTGCCGTATTACCATATTAATTTATGCAAAATTTCAGTACTATGTGTTTTTCCAAATTCCGGTTGTGCTAAACCACTATTGAAGTTGTATGGCAGCTACCAGAAAGTGCCAAGAAATTTTAACGAATTTTATCAAGCACATCGGCCCTACTAATATATTCACTTGTGTGAAATCTCAATATCACAGCTTTTATAGTTTCTGAGATATAGCCAAATAACTTTTGAAGTTGTATGGCAGGTACCAGAAGGAGCCAAGTAATTTCAACGACTTTTATGTGACACATTGGCCCTACTAATATATTCGTCTGAGTGAAATTTCAATACCATAGCTTTAATAGTTTCTGAAATATAGCCAAATAATTTTGGAAGTTGTATGGCAGGTACCAGAAGGAGCCAAATAATTTCAACGACTTTTATCAGGAACGTTGGCCCTATTAATATATTCGTTTGTGTGAAATTTCAATACCACAACTTTTATAGTTTCTGAGGTATAGCCAAATAAATTTTGAAGTTGTATGGCAGCTACCCGAACCGGTACCCTGATCACGTCCAATTTAAATAAGGTTCTGGCACTTACTACAATAAATCATTTGTGAAAATTTGGTGAACTTAGCTCAATTAGTTTTTGAGTTATCGTTTGGACGAACGGACGGACGGACAGACAAAGCTAAATCAACTCAGAATTCGACGCTGATCAAAAACATACACTTGAGTCTATATCTAACACCGTTATTTCTTAGCGTTACAAACGGTAAGGCAAATTTAGTATACCCTTCGAACATACGTTCGTACGGGTATAAAAATGTTTATGCATACTGATTCACACTCTATTACTTACATTGTTCTCTATATATATGCATATTCATAGGAAGATTGAAATAAAGCTAAAAATTCATTATTTATATTAATACCATTTATTGAGAATTGTTAGTTACAAATTAAATTTTTTCTATTTTTAATGTTATTTGTCTTTTTGTAATTTATTTTATAATTTTTTATAATTATATATATTCACAGGAAGATTGAAATTAAACTAAAAATTCATAATTTATATTATGGCTTTAATTTGTATTATTGGCAATGGTTAGTTACAAATTAAATTTTTTCCTTTTTTAATGTTATTTGTCGTTTTTGTATTTTATTTTATTTTTTAAAATTATATATATATTATAATTTTTCTTTGAATCGCTTCTCTTTTATAATATTTCTCTTTTATAATCTCTCTTTTTTTGCCATCTTGTATTGGAATGAATTACGGAAAGAAAACTCTCGCTTTTAATCTTCTTAACGTTTTACTCTACTTTATATACAAAAAAAGTGATGTGGTCAGCACTTAATCGACCGCAATGTATATTGTCTAGACCAGCAAAAGTCTTCTAGAAGATTATGAAAATGCCTTTTGAACACTTACGTTCAATTTTAAGGACAGTGCTTTTAGTTAACATACCTAGAAAAATGTGAGTTTGGCCCTTAGTAGAGTTTTGTAGTCCAGGCTATACGAAAAGTTCGTCAGTAATTTCTGGTAACAACCAGAACTCAAATATTAAATTTCAAGAAATTCCATCAATTCGTTCCGTGGATACGGTAAAAAATATAAAATCAGCCCGAAAAAAAAGTTTGCTTCCGAGCCCTGATCTTTCCAAAAAATTTATAAATTCATTGTTTTAACACCTCGAATGTAAATATTAAACTTTAGCGAAATCAGTTAATTATTTCCTTTTATATACGTAAAAATGTATATTTGGTCTGCAGTAAATGTAAAAATAGTTGCCCCCTGATTTCTTCCAAAAGTTAGTTGTTTGCGCGTACGGTCGAATGAATATTATTATATATTGAAATTTTAAGTAAATCTGTTGAAAATTTTCTTAAAAATGTAAAACAGGCCCACAATCGCAAATATAAACAGGCCCGTTAAAAGGTCCAGTTCCCGAGACCTGATATATCCCACAAGTTGATCAATCCGTGCCATAGTTGAAATAAACTTACATATAAAATTTCATCAAAATCGGTTCAGCCGAACTTGAGACACACGCATACACACAAAGGCCGATAGATTGCTAGAAATAGTTTATTACATTTCCCTTCCATAGAGAAGTGCGTTCCCACCGAAAGCCCGATATCATTTGTTGCCATCACATAGCCCACCTTATTGTATACACAATGCGGTCGGTAATAAGATGCTCCCTCGTTTAAAAATGCATTAAAAAAAATATGTTGACACCTATTGTATACAGTTCCCTCTCCCAATAATCCCTATGTGCATAAAAATGAAAATAAGAAGGCATACTTCTTAACTGGGGGAATTTTTTTCATGTTGTATACAAATATTGGTGAGTGATTGCATTAGTGTTATGTAAACTAATTTTTAATCTAATAATAAATAAATATTTTCGAACTAATTTTTAAATAAGCATATTTTCGTAAAATATTGAATGAAAATATTACTTTTAAAATAATTAAACTTTCACTTTGTCCAAAAGTATACGCACATACATTGGTATGCACATAAATACATACATACGTAATATACAGAATGAAGCAGTAAATTTATTTTATAAACATACAATATGTTAACACGATAAAGAAAGTGAATGAGAATTACATAAATGCATGCATAAACAAATTTATGTTTGTATGTGCGTGCTATCTATATGTATTTCCTTATAAAATTTATAATACAAAAAAATGTATGTAAGAAACAGCGCGCTAAATTATGTACGTGGTAAGCAAATGCAATACAATTTTAATTTTATATTCACAGAATTACATGTGTATATTCTGGCCTAGATGTTTTATAAAAGAAGTGTTATGAACAAACCTGTGATTTTCACAAAATATTGAAAGACTTTATGCCTTATATCTATGAATGTACATACACACATATGTTAGTGTATGTGGGTATTAAAATATATATACGTTAAGAAATTATAGTTCAATTTCTTGTAAAAAAATATTTTTCTGGACTGATGTCCGTTTTATTGAGTTAATGTATTTCAATATAATAACAAAACTTAACTGAACTTAATTACTATTTTTGAACATATAGCAAATAATTGATTATTAAGCAAAATATCACAATTATAAAGTTAAGGCTAAATTATAAAGTTAAAAATGCTTGTGAGGCATTTATTGTGGGAATTATAAAAATAAAGTTTTCACAGGTAAATTGCTAAACAATATTCTCATGAAAATTATGCTGACTTCAGTGTCTGATGTTATGCGCGTATATCATAGTGTATCATAACTCTTCCCTCCTTTAAGATCCGCGTCCACGTGGATCAGAAGCTCAATTTTACTGGTTGGAGTTTTGATTCCAGTTCTCCTAGTTCTTGCGTTTTTAAAGAGATGTTAAATTTTTTCCGGTTTTGGTATTTGTAGATAGCTGCTGGTAGTAAAATGGCAATGATAATTAAGGTGAATTAGGCATTGAATGTTATGCTAACTGCTGAAGTTGTGGTGAGCTCGCTCAATTGTTTGACATTACCCAAGTGCAAATTATGCAGATAATCTAGGTTGAGTTTCATTTTTCCTGGGGAATGGTTGTCGCTCATTATTGGTGGCAAAATGATTTGAGACGGTTGAAATTCTTTGTTGGTATAGGTCTCGTTTTTAATTTGTCTTGTTTCATTATAAAATTCTATGACGAAGTTACCTTTAAGGTT